TAATTGCCTGACCAACTTCGCGCAATTTGAATATCACACCCGAACATTTCTAAACCTGATTTCGTGAAAACCAGTGAGGTGTGAAAACGTTTTTTGAAACTGAAACTGGTAGAGGAACAAAAAAAAAACGGACTTCGAACTTTGCGCACTTTGACTTTAAAGAAATTCGAAACCGAAGTTTCTTTTTCGATTTTAGCGCTAAAAGAGAATCGAAACCTTCGACCTTTTCGAACTTTATGTAGAAAGAAATCCAAAATCTTCGAATTTATCGAACATCGTATCTATAAGAATTCGAAAAGTTCGATTTTTCGATTTTCAGATCCATAAAAATTCGAAACATTCGAGTCTTTCGATTTCAAGTTACGAAAGTTTGAAATCTTCGAATTTCGCGAACCTCAAGTAAAATATATATTCGAAATAATCGAACCCGTACTTTTAAAAACCGTGAAAGCTTCAAACTTTTCGACTTCGAAACTCCACGATTTTTGAAAGTTCCGAATTTTTTTCGATTTCGAACCTTCCTACGGTCGAAAATGTCGAACCTTTCGAATTCGAACTTCAGTTCGGTTCGAAAATATCAAAATCTTTCGAAGTCGAACCTAGGGTGGTTCGCGGCATCCCTACCTCGAATACAGAGGGCACAACGGGCCTGCTATGGCTACGCACTGGCGGCCCCTGCGATTATTACACGATACCCGCCGTTTCTTTCCTTGCAGCCGGAAAGACGGACGAGGGAAAGTGGCAGCAAGCTCCGTTCTTTCTTTGGAAATTGGACCTAATCGTGTCAGCTATCGTCACCGGTGGCGTGCCGTGCGGCAAAGAGGCGTTAAGAAGCGACGCTGGGTTGTGGTGCGAGAGTTCAAATTCCCAAAAAATTGTTTTCTCAATTTGAACAAAAATTACTTTGATTAAACTTTCAGAATCAAAAGAAAATAGATCGTTCTTTCAAACCCATCATATTTTATGTTTTTACTTGAACCACCTCAGGGTAAAATAAACGGCTGCTTATGTGTCAAAGCGCACTTTTTTGCAACTTCAGGATTTTTGTTTACTGAGAGATATTTAACTGAGAGGTTTAAACATTTTTTTATGGAATGTATACCTGCACGGCAACCTTCAAAAAGTTTTATTAGGTACCCGGAGCAATTATATAGTTTTAATAAAATAACAAAAATGTCAAAATTAAAAAAATATATATATATTTCAATTAAACAAAACTGCACAAGCCCACCTGCATCGCAAATCGAAAGCTAAGCAGATTTATAAAAATATATTGTTGGGTGTTTCATAAGAAAGCTGGTTTTTCATAAATTATGAAGTGATACCTAGCCTCACGCTAATTTTAAAAATTAAAACCACGCTCTCGCCATCAAAAGATTGTTTGCGTCAAAAATAGTTTAGGGCATGGTTACGGACATTAATGCAAAAGGCCACGCATTTTTTTTTAGAAATCGAAGGTGGTCGAGCGCAACGTCTGGGACGTTTGACATGAAATGACCCAAATAGCGTGTATTTCACCCCAAATATTCACCAAATACACGGGACTCGCTAACAGTGTACCATCGGCTACGTCTGGACTTAGTTCGAAACGGAGTATAGCAGCAACGGAAATTCTACACTGGCGCCCATGCATGCCTGCGAACGGAGCTCATGATTTGTTTGTTATATAGTAATGTGTTACACTTGAAGATAATCATGGCTGACTACACTTGTTTTCTTTTTGAATTCACTTGAGGGAATTGCAGTGCATTTTTTTTTCAGCCCTTCCGCTTGACCTTTTTTTGTCCCCCTCCACTTCAGAATGACCTAAAGGGCCCTACGGATTAGGCCGACAAAAGCGTATTTAACGACGTTTAGCCACTCGGCGAACTCCCGAGGAATGACACGACGCACCTGGTTCAACAACACGTGTTAATTTAGGGAGTGTTGCTGGCGCGCGCCGCGACCCAAAAGCACACCACGCATACTCCTCCGTCTAGTCTACCTTTCATCAGCGGCGGAGTGGCGCCCGCCTGGCGGCTTGCACTTTGCCACCTCTCGGTAGAAAATAGTGAAGGACGATTTCACTTGCAGGCAAACTCGTACCACGCCCTAGATCACAAGGTTGCCACAACATATAAGGAGAGTTGCCTGCACGAGTGATCTGAGACAAAACTCTTGTGCAGGCAACTCTCCTCTTTTGAGATAATCTTACAAAGTAATTCCTCTTCATTTAATACATTCCAAAGTTATTGGAAGCTTTAAATGAAGGTAGCATCCTTAATTTTAAAGTATTTTTGTTGTATTGCGCATATCAATCTAGGCATTTTCTGTCAATTTTTGCTTCGGGGGCTTACAGCGAAACCAAAAGTGCCGGCTCGAGAAGGACGGCAACACTGGTACTTGACGACGGTCGAAGACGCGCGACGTTACGTTCGTACCGCTGAACGTTACGAAGAAGAGAAAGTTGTTTTTACGTAACGCGTTAAGAGTAACGGGTTACTTCTGTCTAGTTACTATTTTTGGTAACGACTAACGTATTTAGTTACTTTTAAGGCCAAGTAACGAGTAACGGTATCTGGTTACTTTGTGAGGAGTAACGTGTGCTACACCGATTAAATGGCCTTGTTTTTATTCTAACCTGAGTATGCGGCTATTGCGAGAACGGTAGGTGGACAACCCGAAAAAACAACTAAAGAGTATGCCAGAACTGCAACGTATATTGCTGAACACGTAAGTCGAACAGTTCGAATGACATGTCCAGCGATAAACGTTGCTCTACTGAAATCTACAGCTGAGAATGTCCTTCACCCATGGAACACAATTAGGTTCGTTGGTTGAACCTTCTAGAACCGGGTACCGACCGAATCAAAGCCCGGAGGTTGCCAACACGGGAAGGCATATAACCCATTACCCGCTGTCCTTAGTGAAGGCGCAGTTCCCGAAGATTCACCAGTTCTTCCTGCAGCACAACACTGCCGTTCCTTCAAGCGTGCCGGTAGAACGACACTTCAGCGTCACCAGAGATGGATTCTCAAGGAAGCGGGGAAACGTAACTGATGAAAACTTCGGGAGGCAGCCACTGTTTAGGTGCAACGACGACTTAAAAGAAAACAATAAACCATGAAACAAAAACAATTGTGTATTTGGTCGTTGAAGTAACGTGAAAAGTAAGTCGTTACTTTTAAGGTAACTCACGCGTTTCTTTCAAGAATCGGTAGCGAGTAACGTATTTAGTTACTTTTTGAGCAGACAACGCTGTTAGAATCTTTTAATTGGATTCGCAGCTAGCCGTCCCAGAGTGATAACATAACAGTTTCGATTTGGTGCTTGAAGTCCATGGCATCCAGAAGCCTATCCGGTGAACCGCTTTGTAGAAAACACTTAGTTACTTTTTGGGGGGTAACGTGTCTGCTCCTAATTTAGTGCGTTGCTTTATATATATATATAGTAACTATTAGAAACATTAGTTTGCATTCGTCAGAAAGTTAGCGATCGAAAATGAAGATCTAGCACGCTGCATCAAAATTGACCCTTGATTGCGGGCGCAGGGCGGGCAGCGCGGTCGCGGTGCATGAACCGATCTACTTTTTTTTAGTGTTCTTGGAGAAGAAAACGGAAACTCATATGCAATCTAAAGGCGGATTAAAAAATTAAAACTACTGCGCACTACTGTCAAGAATCAACGCGGCAAATTTTAATTAAGATTCACGCATCATACGACCGATTGACCAAGGGTGTTCTGGACGTCTTCTCAAATTAAGTTGATTGCTTTGTCAGAGGGCGTGTGCCGGAACGCCGACGATTGTCGCGTGTCATGCAGCTTGTACTATCCACCCGCTGCTGGAACTGCAGGTGGACGGTGCACGAACAACGACGGTGCAGCATAGTGCCTCAGTCTATTGTTGTTTGCAAAAAAAAAAAAAAAAAGAAAAGCTGCTGTCAGAAACTTTTAATTGGATTCGCAGCTAGTTGTCCGAGAGTGATAGCATAACAGTCTCGATTTGATGCTTGGAGTCCATGGCATCCCGAAGACTATCCGGTGAACGGCTTTGAGAAAACAACGCAAAACAACAAAAGAGAGCAATTAAAAAAAAAAAAAAGGCAAAATGCGCTGACCAGCAACCCTGGTATATTCGTCTTTCTCTTCTTCACGATATGTAGCTAGAATCCCAAACAATTTTTGAACCGAAATGTGTCGTTCGTTTTAGTGTCTGGTGCTCTGAAAGCTCAAAAAAGTCAAGGAATGACCAAATTTTATGTTCACTTGTCAGCTAGGTACTTCGGCTCTATATGGCCGATCAAGTTCCAAAACTAAGTTTCACTGCCTGTTTTTCTTTTTTTTTTTTCTCTCATGTCGTTTTTTTGTGCCTAACTTCGCGAGAAAATGCCAAAAATTAGGTTACACCTGTGGTTTTTATAATGTTAGCTAACATTTCTGGGCCTAAGTCCCCAAACAAACGGGTGAGTTGTGCCTTCTGGGCAGCACACAACTGAGACGATTCGAAGACATACTGCAGGCACTAACCATACGCCGATGCAAAAAAAGTAAATATTAAAGTAGCCAGTATTCTTGCAGTAACGAAACAAAAAACCCAAGGTAGCCACCATAATACGGCACTAATAGTTGTAATTCCTAAAGTACTGTTATTTGGGATGATAATTATATATCCTTAGAAGGTTGAGATGAAGAGGCACTTATACAAGTATCACCTGATACTTAAACCTGAGAGCAAGGTCAGTGTTCGGGAATGTATTCAGTTTTAAAATAGGCCAAAGACGAAAGTTATTAAACAAAACGTTTTTAAAACGCAACCACCATGCGCGGTTATAATTCCAAGTGCGTAGCTTGGAAGGAGAGAGGCCGCGCGTTGCAGTGAAGAAATACTCACCCGAAATGTAATATTTGAGAAAATTAATCCGTTAAGTGTTTTTTTTTTATATTTTTTTACAAACATACAGTTTTCGTATTTGCAGTGTCAGTGAGTTGAACAGTTGTGCGTGTGAGGCATCATGGGCTTATACAGTTCACCTTTATTCAATTCGAAGTTTTATTTCGAACCTACAGTTGGTCACCACAGAACGCACTTATTTTTAATGTTCATGGGTGAAGACTTGTTGCAGCGGAATGCATCCAGAAAAGCTTGAGAATTTCCCAATGGAAGGTTCACTCTGGAGAGAAGAAATGCAATTCAGGCTCTAGAAAATATCCTAAAGCGCACTGATGATTCTAATGAAATACATCTGGGCTTTTGAAAAGATAGTGTAAATATAGCACTCAAAATGATGACAGCGCATTTTGCAAGCTTCCGTTCAACTATAAAACAAAACACCAAACTGCCCAATCTTTTTTAAAGAAAACAGTCAAAATTTGCAGATGAAGAAATCATGCCGATAAACACTTTGGCAGTGCCGCCAAATTTTGTTAGATCAGTGGCTTGGAATCATCTCACCATTCGATCAGTACGGTTAGTACATTTCAACATTTCTCGTATTTCCTCTCTAAAGGAGATGTGTAACGATTTTAACGTTTAAAGAATTGACACCTCCTATTTTTACTTTTTTTATCTTGTCACAAAAGGACAGAGAACACATATCCTTCCTTTTAAACGTTGCTATTCCGCCGCGTAATCTCGAGGCGAAAATTAAAATATTTTCCGATCTGTAGCTGCGAGCGGCGGCCATGAGAACCACGCCGCGTGACGCAAAGGGGGATTAAAAAAACAATTTGTGAAACTACCTGCTCGATAAAAGTTATTTTTTTTTATAAATCTTATCGTTTCAACATCAGTGTAAATGTGTCCAAAATCTGGTATCATCCATTATACGGTAGAGTGCCTTCATACACACGCGCGCTTTTGCTTGAGTGGTGACATCTCAACCATTTTTCCGCCCAATCGTTTTTTTATGCATTTTGAAGTTCGCGCAATCCGGTGTCAGTCAGCTCGAGCGCATAGCTTTGGCTAACGCATAGACGCCATTTTACCGCCCAAGTCACGCACCGAGCGCTCGAGAGCGTCACGCGCTGACACATCCAGGGCAACAATGGATGTCTTCACCCTGAGACAGACAAACATGTTGGCACCCTATTATACGGAGTTTCACTGCGCCATCTATTCGAGGTAAACGAAACCATCAGTTCTATTTTTTACCCCGAGGAGCCGCCAGAAGCCGGACAGCCGTAAAGCGTTGGATGAATTTGAATTTTATGAACCAGTACCGCCCAGCTAGTTCATGCTGTAACGCATTTGAGCCAAAAATGGAGGGGCGTCACCACCAATAGGTGAGCGGCGTTTGGCAACTTCCAGTTCCTCAAATTTTGGTTCACTGTTGACCAACGACGACAATGAGCTGCATGCCTGTGCAAGTATAATTCTGAAACCTCCTGACTGTAGTTTTCAGAACCGTTCTTAGACAGGCTAGCAGAGCATCGTCGTCGATTGTCAACAGCTGAAAAAAAAAATTCCTGAAGCTGCCAGACGCCGCTTACCTATTATAGTTTTGTACGGCGGCGCGTCGCCGGCGACTAATAGGAGCGCCCGTGGCACGATCAAACAATGGCGGTACTTGGAAAGCTCAGGATATCCAGCGCTCAAGACAGCCGGACGGCCGGACCTGGACGAGCACGTTGGCACTCTCCTCCTTTGGCCATGTTGATCGCGCGGCGGAAGCACGGGGTCACGTGGTCGCGAGCGGGTGAGCTTCTCGCTGCTCACTGATGGCTCTAGAGTGAGAGAGCTTCACCGTAACCCCGCGCGCCCTTTTTGCACGTCACAGCGTATGAGCGACTCGGAAGATGGTGAAGGAGTTAAGAGGGGCCAAAAACCTCAATCTTCTGCATTAAAAACAAAAAAACTAGGGCATGCAGGCAAAAGCAATTTTTTGTTCTTTACTTTAAAGGGGTAAAGGTAGCAGCTCCCACAATTATTTAAGCGAATCCCTGCAATTGTTGCAGTTCCTTTAAAAAACAAGTCAAATGACGAAAATGACCAGTCTCAGGGGGACTCGATACGTATACATTGTATAAAAGTTGACATCATATAAAGTGACAGAAGTCAGCATGTGTTGATTGAACGCAAAATAAAAGAGAAAACGTAAGTTACCCGATTTTCTCGTATAATCTTTTTAAAAAAAATCTTTTTACGCAAGCATTTGCAACCGCCAAACATTTATTGCTATTCATACAAATTAGGCTCATCAACGATTTCCTTAAAGGGCCTCTGACACGCCAAAAAAATTCAAAGTGCCAGCGAGTGCCCTGTGCCGTAACAATGTACCGCAAGGTGTCGGGGCAGTCAGAAGGGAGGCATCAACCTACGCCAATAAATGTGGGTTCGCCCTAAATCACGTGAGTTTCACTCCTCGTGCTCTCCACGACCGTGCCTTAGACTTTTTAATAGAGCGCAGCTCTAAAGCGCGATCCAAACCAACGCTTCTTTTTGCGCCTGTAGGTCGTGCGGCTGCGGATGTGACGCATTTTCGTGACGTCGCGCCGCTTCTTCGCTCCTTCCGGGCGCGCATAAAAAAGTTGGTTGATTTCAACTTCTTTCTCAACGCGCACGAAAACGCGCGGTGACGTAGTAGGGCGCTCCTGTGTCCCGGACAATCGGTGGAGGGCAAGCTAGTTCCGGCTCCGTGTTTCTCGCCGTCTGGCTGCCCTCTCCTCCCCCCCTTTTATTCTCTTCCAACATGACAACGCGATCTCTCTCTCTCTCTTTCTCTCGCCGTCTGGACGGCCAGTCTGTCGCAGTTGCACTTTGCTTGTGCGCTCGTGCCGAAGTTTCGCCCGTCCAAACCAAAGCGCACGGTTCAGACTCAGAAAGCGCGCCCGGAAACAGCAAAAATGCCACGAAATGCGTCACATCCGCAGCCGCACGACCTACAGGCGCAAAAAGAAGCGTTGGTTTGGATCGCGCTTTCGGCGCCCGTTTCCGGCTTGAGCGGCGTCGCCGTCCCCGTTGGCGTCAGCGTAACCGCGACCCCCCCCCCCCCCCCCCCCCCCATTCCGAGGACCTCAGGAGGACCTCGGGTTCCTTCGGGAGGACCTCGGGTGCCTTCGGGAGGACCTTGGGTACCTTCGGTGACCTCGGGGAGGGGGGGGGGGGGGGGGTCACGTGACCCCACCCCCGAAGTGACGTAAAACCCCCGAGGTCACGTGATCCCCTCCCTGAGGTCACGTAACCCCCTCCCCGAGGTCACATGACCCCCCCCCCCCCCGCCTCAGTACCCTCCCGCCTACTCCTCAAGAGCTGCGCTCTAATTCGGCGTTACAGGGAGTTGTAAACGGCTTTCATTTTTTTTAATTTTTGTCTTTTTTACGAGCGACCGTAGAAAACGAAGTTTCAGCTCCACTAGCTTTTTATTGCTGCACCGTTGGTTAGTTTGTGTGTTGTAAAATTTGAGGACGAAGAGTCAGTGGATCGACATAATGGAGGTCAAGATGAAAGCGTTGCGAGTACAAGCCAGTGTACGAGTGCATGCCATTAGTCCGATGGTACAGAGCCGTACTGGGCACAAGACAAGGTATCGAATTTCGAAAACAAAAAAACTTTAGAACGTTCGCAGAAATTAGGATTGCTAGCATACGACACGGCCGATCGCATTGGTGAAGGTTCAGACACCAAGGTCGTCGAATCATCGGATATTCTACAGGCTGAAGATGCCTCCCGTCCAGAGAATACGAACTGGTGAGTGTACCAAGTACAAGTAAACGTCAAGTATAAAGCACGTGTTTTCTCTTGAACATGAGTAGAACTTGTTTACTAGGTTCACTGACTCCTCTTCTTCCACCTTTAGAGCAACATTATGCGATGAAAAGCAAATAAAAGAAACCTCGTTTGCTTGGATTGCTTGCGGAGTGTGGAGAATAACAAAAATATAGAAAAATATTACATGCGGTCACAATAAGCACGAGGAGCGATACAACTCACGTGACTTCCGGCGATGCCTCCCTTCTGAGCGCCCCGACATCTTGCGGTACATTGTTACGTCACAGGGCAATGGCAGGCACTTTGAATCGGGCATCGCATTTCTATCTTTTTTTATATAAAAACACTACGCAACTCTAAAATGAAACATTTTTTCGGTGATTTCCTGAGACACCATTTGAACGCCTAGCATGAAAAAAAATATTTTGTTGGCGTGTCAGAGGCCCTTTAAGTGCTATGGCACTTTTCAGTTGAGGATTAAACGTGTCAGTTCTCTTGAGAGGTATTCTAAAGCTTCGAGTCCTCGGGATTACGAGCAACAGGGGGAAATATTATCGGGAACTATAACTCTCAGTACAATTCATATACAAACAATCAGACAAAATAATTTAACACCAAAAAATTGAGATGGCTTGGTTGTTCACAACATTTCGTATGTTCGATTCTACAAGGACAGCAACTGTTCGTTGCGTCTAGCTTCTCATTTCCAAATCCTTCTATGTTGTCCGTTTACAAGAATACAGCGTTTTACACCGCGTACGCTTTAACAGGCACAAAGTTTTCATTAACTTTGTTTACGCGTTTTTGTAGGTCTTCTTGGACTGCTGAATTATTTTCAATGTGGCTGTGTAAAAGGGGCCACTGGCGATCTGCCTTTTTCATTTTCACTTTACTGAAGTCTTTGAGCATCACTAGGGTGGTTAAAAGGTTTCATTTATGATCTATATTAATTTGGGTTTTAGTTACTCGCAGGAATGTTTTTTCTTCTGTAAACAACTGCGCTTATAGGGTGCTGCCAGTCACATGTTGGCGGAACCAGTTCAGTCGCCCACCTTTCATAGCCTGATCCTGCTCTTTGCGTGAATGTTTGCAGAGAGAGCGTGATCACCTGGTACAAAAAACATGGTTTATTGGTCCAACTTGCACCTAGCTTCTACCGCGTTGTTACCATAGTGATGAATCGTGCATGACTATGCTTGAGTCTGTGTTCGTGCGTTTAAAATTTAAAGCCATTACACTACAGACGAACGCTAACACTGCTAAGACTGAATTGATGCGTTAGAGATTCGGCCTATAATTTATATTAAATCAGTGACTTTGAAGCCAATCATTGAGTTGGCGCCGTCGTGTGCCCACGCTTCATAGAAAAGAGACTGTATATCGGCTTCAATTATTATCAGCGAAAACTTTCTGTAGTAATTCAAAAATTAACAGTGGCAACAAGAATGCGCAAAATACTACATA